AAAAAAAAAAAAAAAAGAAAAAATAAATTTTATTCTAATAAAGAATTGAAGACAATTTTACTTGATAAAACAAATGTAATAAAAAAAAAAGTTAACAGGATTAATTTTCATCATACGTAAGCAATGATTTTTTTTTCTATTTTTTTCTGATTTTATATGGATATTGTGGATTTTCACAGACTGGAAGTATTGTGTAATTCAGTGTACCGGATATCTGAAGTCCTGGGCGCCTGCGAAAATCGACCTCGAGGAACACGAAGGCGACGGGGATGGAGAGGCTTGCAATTTATCGTGTTTAGTAGCAGTTGGTCGGCTACAGTCCACGTTACCAACATCCTTGCCTAAGAAACCGCGTTTGAGACCGATAAAGTTTGTCTCGCGACACGCGATGGATGGCAAGTTCCTCTTTGTCGACCAAAGGTGAATAATTACATGGAATTAACGATACACAGTAATTATATGATGTATCTTTAAATTCTCAGATAGTATAGTATTTAAGAAGAAATTTTAAATCGGCCTGTTCATCTAGAAATTAGAAAAAAAAGAGCAAGATAAAAATTTCAAAAATTCAATTTTACTATTTAACGAATGTCCTTTAAAACAGATTTACTATTTGAAAGAAAAGCTTAGCTTAACAAAGTTGCTTAACAAATTATACGTATAATATAAATGATATTTGCATTCTTCAATTGTCAAGGTAGAATATTTAAGAAAAGCGCCGAATCATTCTCTTTAATTTTTTACTCTTTATGACTTATGATCACTGATTTCCATTACATGCTAGATTGTTGTCGTTTGTTCGCCCACCAAATCTGCGGAATAACAAGGAAAGTTACTTAACGTGGCTCGAATATATTACTCCATCTGTACGTTTACGTATATTTCTTGTGTGAACTCCACTCCACTCGTATCGAGTGTTTGTTCTTCGATGAATTCGATGGTTAAATGGAGGTTTTTTTCTTTTTTACCGCGGTAGCGATAACAATTATTTAAACGTTCGTAACGACAGATAAATAAGAAGGAAAACGTTTGCAGGGCTACTTTAGTGTTAGGTTTCCTGCCGCAAGAGCTACTTGGCACGAGTATGTACGAATATTATCATCACGATGATATCCCTCATCTAGCAGAATCTCATAAAGCTGCTCTTCAAGCATCCGAGTGCGTCACCACGCAAGTAAGTCGCTGCGTTCAACCAACTTTTTCTCATCCGCTCGGCTGTTTTGCAATGATAATGGACGTTGTTTGAAATCTTAATTTGCATCACACGCTGCTCGATGCCTTTGCCGCCGTTACATGCAATTTCCTACAACCGAGTTATCTGCTCTTTCACATTTCAATGTTTCATAGCTTCAACAAAGTACAGAGTCCATTTCAAATCAGTATCACGCAACTTGACAGTATATTGCTAGTGTAACAACAGCGGTATTTTCATTCATTTAAAATTAAAATGCACATATATGGAACGCACGCGATAATCAAGGAGGTTCAAAATATGTAAATTGGGCAGAGATCGCTTAAATTTCTATTTCTTTAATTCGATGGAAATCTCTGACTGAACAACTGAGAACTTCCTTTCAAAAATTTTGAACGTTTCAAAGCGCAGCCTGTGTGTACTAGAATCGTACTAGAAACGTAGAGACTGGAATAAAAGTAGAATCATGCTGTTAAACTGTTAAATAAAGGGCTGAGAGTGATAGTGGTGTAAAACACAATTTTATATAGCCTGAGTTAATAAGCGTTGAAGGCTCTATATTTCACGGCAACTACTGTCATAACTTCATTTATTACTGAAGTACTGGCAGTACTTCATTTTAACACTTAAATAAAGAAACAATAAACGTAGAACATAGTTTTACAAAATCATCGTAAGAATGACTTACACTTTACACTATAATTCTCAGTCCTTTGAATGTTAATTCAATTCCGATTTAATAAATCGGATCCAACATGTACCTTTATTCGAGATCTTCGTTCAACTGTGTTCATAAAAATACAAACATTTGTTTAGATATACAGGTTTAGAACCAAAGGTGCGAGCTTCGTGAAGCTTCAATCCGAATGGAAATCCTTCAGAAATCCATGGACCAAAGATATCGAGTACCTAATAGCCAAGAATTCTGTTACTTCGTAAGTTTCGACGACATGTTTTTATCATAGTTCGATGGCTCCATAAAATTTGGACGAAATGCTTGAATTAATGAAAACGAATCATGTCATCAGCTGTGACTCCCGATTGATCACGAGTAGTGGAAACAGATCTGAGGACTCCAGCGTTCAGGGCAACTACGACTACTTCACGCAAAGTAAATAGAATATACTATATTTCACGTATATTTTTAATACTTAATTCTCGATTTATATGATTATATGAATATCATCATCGGACGTGACAAAAAATGCAGAAAGATCAATGGCTTTGTCAGTTTTCCTTCGAAGGAAATCATCAAAGTTTCATGGAAATTATGGAAATTATATGCAGTATACAAATAAATCGTTCACGTTATTGTTAATAAAAAATAGAAAATATTCGAAATAGAAATTTATCCTGTTTCAAAAATAAATATTAATTTCGTGACTTACGTGACACTTTTTTGTGAAAATATTGTAAATCAAAGAAATACTTCTCTTTCAGTTCTAGTTCTAGTTTGCGCATTATGCATCCATTCTTACTGTTATTTTTTTAATCATCAAATGTAACAACGAGTGCTGTATTTTTTATGTATGTATATTTGCATAAAATCTGCAGCTTTCTGAAATTTCTTATAAACATCCACAATCCAAAAAAGATTTACTTAATTTCGGTTATTGATACATAAAATATGT